TCCAGATCATTTATGAATAAGTAGTACCGGCCCCAATACTGATCCTTGTGGGACCTCACTGTTTACTTCCCTCCATTGTGAGAACTGTCCATTGAGTTTACTCAGCAGTCTTTGGTGAGGCACCTTGTCAAAAGTATATGATGTCTACCAGATCACGGTTGTCTACATGCTTATTCACTTCCTCAAAGAACTCCCAAAGGTTGGTGAGGCAGGACTTCCCTTTGCAGAAGCTATGCTGATTTCCCCTCAGCAAGCTTTGTTGTTCTATGTGCCTGATAATTCTATCTTTGATTACAGTTTCTACTAATCTGCCTGGGACAGACATTAGGCTGACTGGCCTGTAATATCCTGGTTCTCTCTGGATCCCTTTTTAAAAATTGGTGTAACATTTGCTACTCTCCAGCTACTCTGTCTTCTGGTTTGTTGTTCAGTCGCATAGTCGAGTCCGACTCTTCGCGACCCCATGGACCAGCTCCCGCCAGGCCTTCCTGTCTTCCGCCGTCCTTTGAAGTTTGCTCAGTTTCATGTTCGTTGCATCTATGACACTGTCTAACCATCTCATCCTTTGCCGTCTCCGTCTTCTTTGACCTTCAATCTTTCCCAGCATCAGGGTCTTCTCCAGTGAGTGCTCCCTTCTCATTTGGTGGCCAAAGTATTTGAGCTTCAGTTTCATTATATGGCCTTCCAGGGAACAGTCAGGGTTGATTTCTTTTAGGATTGACTGATTTGATCTTCTTGCAGTCAAAGGGACTCTCAAGTCTTTTCCAGCACCATAGTTCAAAAGAATCTATTCTTCGGCACTCGGCCTTCCTTATAGTCCAACTCTCGCAGCCATACATGACTACTGGGAATACCATTGCTTTGACCATGCGGACTTTTGTTGGCAGGGTGATGTCTCTACTTTTTATCATGCTGTTTAGGTTCGCCATCACTTTCCTCCCAAGGAGCAGGCGTCTTTTAATTTCATGTCTTCTGGTACAGCAGCTGAATTTAGTGATAGGTTACATATATGGCTTAGTAGATTAGTAGGTTTCATAGACACCATTCAGAATCAACCATGGTTTGTGCAACAAACTCTCTACCAGATGGAAGTAAACCTTGGTTGGGCTCTTTCCACCAGGAAGAACATTCTCCCAGTATTGCCTTGTTGGCCAGGATCTGTTGTGCTATATGAAGAAATGTAGTTTCGGACATTATAGCCAACCAGCTACAGATCTTAGTTTGAACTTTTTATTTAAATACTGATTGATTATTCCTACTTTGTTTAGCCCTATACATTTGGATGTCACAACAGCAGGTTTGGTCAAACCACTGCTTATTATCATATCAGAATGCAGCTATCATATTCTGTACAGCAGAGTCCTGCGCTCAAAATTGTTTTATTGATTGGTTGGTTGAGAGTATTTTTAGCTCACCTTTCTCCAAGACCGGCCCCCAAAGTTTTGATTTGTCCCCTGACTTACAATGAGCACTCTTTTGTAGAACTCTTGAATGCAGTAAGCTGACCAGAATAACTCCCTTTAAAACATTTGACATCCAACTCTTAAAAACGTGTAGAAGGTACAAGAATGTCCATGAAAAGGCACAGCCTGGAGAAATCTCCCATTTCTCAGAATCTGCTTTGGGAGGTAGAATAGCATACAAGCCCCCAAAGTAGGGCCATTTTCGCTGCTAGAACATTACTGAGAGACCAGCCTGTACACAATGTGTGTTTTGTTCTCGTACTCTCATTTGCAGACAGACAGACACACCCCTTCTCGCCCCACTTTCCCTTGAGTATTGTACATTAACTCTAGTCACAACATTGGTCCCCTGCTAGGGAATTCAAGAGAAGATGAGGAAGGGGAGAAACAGACCAAGAACAAAAAGGAGCAAAGGGTATGTGTGTGGAGGGAGACGTTTCATGTTCTATCACTCCATGCCCTAGTCCTTTAAATGCCAATTATTTACACACACACACACACACAGAGTTGCCACGGGGTGGGGAGCTGGAATATCCCTCAGCTCTGGTTCTAGTTTCCCTTCCCTTTCTCCCCCAAACTCTGATGCTCCTGGTGCTGACTGCCCGCAATCTAGTTTTTTGCACAGCATTTTGGGTTTCTACAGCTATTCCAAATGATGTACAAATTACAGCAGTTTGCTGTTTGTGGTGTCTGTGCACATGGAGACATTGCAGGTAAGGTGTTTGGGGTTATCCCACTTTTCCCTCCTAGTGTGATTTTTCTGCAAATCCAGCATGAGTCATGGTTAGGGTCGGCCCGTCACTGACAAATTTTAGACCATCGCCTAGGGTGCCGGCTCGACAAGGGCACCACTCTGGTTGGCCTGCCACCCCACCTTCCCCATTAGGCCCTGGGCCGCATGTCCCGCTGGTGGGCTCCCTTTCCCTCGGCCAGCTGGCCTTGTCCCCTCCTTGCCCCGCACAGGAAGCGAAGCACCCCAGGGCGCGCCTCACTTGCCAGCCAGAGTGCCTCCCCCCTGCAATTTAGCAGCACTGGTCGGGGAGGCAAAGAAACGCACCCCTCAACACCCTAACCCCGGGCCCCTGGGGAGCGTCTGGCCAGCTTCGGCTCCTCTCCGGGAAATGCGAAAGGAAGGGGGAGGTTTCCCACGAGGTCTGAAGCGGCTTTTCCTTGCCGAAGGCAGAAGAGCTGCAGAGGCTTCCCAACGGGGCGGGGGTGTGTGCACCATGCAGCTTTCCTGAAGCCGAGAGAGAGAGCCATCCTCGCCACAGTCTCCTCCGCCCTGTGCCCTGCCCAAAGGGGCTGACGACGTCCTTCAAGACCCTGATGGGGCTGCGATTGGCTCTGGGGGGGGGGAAGGGACTGGAAACTGGCCAGCATGACTCATGGTTGGCCCTGTTGCATGGCTTTGGCTATCCATGTGGGGGCCAAACCTTCACAATTAGACCAAGTGATATATAATGCAAAAAGCCAAAGTTACCCTGTAGAGTGCATGGTAAAAACCTGTGGCTAGTCAAACATGGGTTATGTATCATTAGCAGTGCTGCATTCCCTTAAGTGCTCCTGCAGATGATGCGTGTCAAGCTGTTGGCCTGAGAATTCTGATTCTGCCTCCTCCGGCATTATTCAGTGATTAAATATACTTCACTGAGTCTGGCTTCAAACAAAGGCAGTCATGTACAATGGTGCTAGGCAGCCTGGAGTACTGCCCTCTGTAAGCCTCTCAGAAAGTTGGTATCTAGCTTTTCATCTGCCCCTTCACAAACTGCCTAATCACTTAAGACCAAAGCAAATTTTACATTTTAATCAGCTGTAAATATGTAAGGAGCTTTTGAGACCTTTGTATCCTGGATGAGACTGTCCCTGGCAATTGTCCCTGCTGGTCAGTTCTAGTTATACTATGTTGATGAACAACCTGTATGAGTACCCACATGTTAGTTCAGGCCCTTACAGCCGTTTCTTCTAGCCATGCCTTAAATTCTTCAGGGCGCAGACTTCCTTGGTAAGGTTCAGGACATTGTTCATCATGACTCCATTATGACGAATGAATTGCAAGACTGCAGATGGATTCAGAGAGCATCCTCACTAGTGGTTTTCCATAAGACATGGAAGGCAATATTTTCTTCATGATTTTATGATAGGCAACAGAAATTTTGTATAGATTATTAATCTGCATTGTTTAAGAAGTTTATTGTTTTTTTGTACTGGTGTATTTTATTGTGTTTTGGATTGCATCATAGGGCAGGCTCGAGATACACGCTTGCATGCCCTAGGGATGCCTGGTGTGGCACTGCAGGATCCTATCTGTGTGTTCCTGTGGAACATGTGTACAGGAGTTGATGGTGTGTAACAAACAGGTGCATTAGGCATCTTTAGAATTCAAAGGCAGCCACTCTCCCACCCTTTAGGCCTGTTAAGATTTGTTTTCTAAAAGGGCAGGTGTTTACCAGAAAAGCAAGTCCTAGGCCCTGAAAGCCTCTTCTCTATCCTTCTGTTGTGTGAGGGGGCCAGGTGCTCTGCACGTGCTCAGGGGGTCACTGGCTGCTCTGGGCCTTGTCATATCGCGCTGCGGGGAGATTCTGGGGTTCGGAGGAAGAATGCCTTGGTTCTAGGCGCGGAACCTCCCTTCCTCTTCGGGACCCCAGCCCCCGCTGTTCCTTTTCCAGCCGGCGGCTGGAAACAAAGCCTGCCTCGCGGCGACACCCGCTTCCCCTGCCGGCAGAGCCTCGGACGCGTTTGCGTGCCCGGCACACTTACGGGAGTTGCGGGGTGGAGAGCGCGGAATGGACGAAGAAAGGGGCTGTTTGCGGCCGATCCACTCCGCTTCCCGACTCCTGGAAGAAAGAGGGACGGGCGACCCTCCAGCTCGTCCTCCCGTCCCCACGTGGGGTCCAGCCAGGGCCCGTTTGGGGGCGGGAAGGGCGTGTGAAAGAGCAGCGGTCCCGGGGTGTGTGCCAGGGGAGGGGAGTCCCTCGCCTGTCGCGCCGGAGCTGGGGGGGGGCTGGGCAGCGGGGACGAGGGGGCAGTCCTCCAGCCTCCCCTTCTGCGCTCGTAGACGCTGCACAAAAGCCTGGGCGGCTGCGGAGGGCGGGTGGGCGCGCGATAGCGGACTGCATGCCTCGGCGAGGCCAGTTCCGCCTCGCCTCGCCTCGCCCCCCAGCGTCGGACGGGGCTGTGCCCTCCCCGGGCTCTCGCCCTGCCGTTTGAATATATGCCGGTCCCCTTCGCTCTCCGAGCAGGCTGGGTTTGTGCGCGGCGATGGGGGCCACTCTCTCGCCCGGGCTGGCAGCTCGGTGCTCTCAGCCCTTTGTGAGAAGCTGCGCGGCGAAAAATAGCCGGAGGCTGGACAGAGGGTAGGAAAAGCCAGCCAGTCAGCCAGACGCGCAGGCGGCGGGAGAGCTTCTTCTCTGGGCCACGGCCAGGGGCAGCGGCGGCTACAAATATATGGCGGCGGCGGCGGCGGCAGAAGCAATCCCAAGTGAGTAGCCCCGCCAACTTCCGCGGCTCTGCCTTTGCACACGCACGGCCCGTGTGCCATGACTGCTTGGCACATGGAGCGAGAGAGCGGGCAGGAGGGACTTTCTCCGCCTAGCCTGCCATGAATGGGGCAAGGCGATGCTGCCCTTCACCGCTTTCTCCTCCAGTTCGCAGGGTAAGATGGATGTGCTCGCTTTCAGACCCTTTGCACTTTCCTCCACGCAGTTTCTCCCCCCCCCACCCGATATTTGGAACTGGGCGTCCCTGGGGATCTCATCGCTTTAAAGGGCCCTTGTAATGACCCCGGAGACAGGAGCTTGATGAGGCCAACTGAGAGCCAGTGCCTTGCCAGCTTCATTGCTTGTATTTATTTGTAAAATATCATATATATGCTTTGTGATTACGGATACTAATATTAAAACGGACTTCAGCCACGGAAGTAGGAGCAACTAGTGCCTGGAGATTTATTAAGGAGTTTAGTTTTCTTTCCCATTAAGAAAGAGTTGGTTTCTCTGACGAACTCTGGTCGTTTTTTATCTTTTTGACGTTTTGTTCTTGGGAATGAGGAAATGGAAAGGAACTGACTGATTTTTCGTTGCAGTTGGGGACTTCAGTGGTGGGCTCTTTCCTAGTATCTTCCAAGTTCTAGGTAAACAGTTCCGTTTCCAAGTGGAGGGAAGATGAATTTGGGGCAGTGAACTTTTCAGAGGCAAATGTTTTCACGGGGTGCGCATGGGGTGTCTTTCAAGTTCAACTTTTGCTCAAGCAGATCACACAGGACTTACTAGGGATGGGCTTAGGTCTCGTCAACCTATCTTGCCTGTGACTTCAGATAAAAAAGCTCTAGTAAGGCAGAATCTCCCTCCCGCTCATTCATCACAATTTTCAGTTTGCTGAAACGTTTGAACTGCAAATGTGGGAGATCATTGCTCTGTGTCAACAAGAGCAACCCGCAGAGACGATAATAATGCATCTATCAATACTGCTGTTGTTTCTGAAAATCCAGGGAGCCCTACCATCTGTTGTGACAGAATAAGCACCATGTTTTCCTCTTGAGTTTCCAATGTGCACATTTTTTTATGTCAAAAAGGAAAATAATTGGTTCTTTATTTCCTTATTAGCAGTGAGCACAATCCGCTGGGAAGCTGGTATGGGAGTTCTGTGCAGCTCTCATTCGTTTCAGTAGGGCTTGCACTGGATTGTCCCTTAAACATACATGCTTATTTTCAGAATGTCTTTTCCCCCCAACCTACATGAAGGGGATTTGATGGAAATCTTGGATGTGAAGATCAGAATTTTACTTGCAAATTAGAGAGAAACATTCACACATATGCTTCTGCAGATGGGTTTCAGCTCCAAATATTTTGTATATAAGTGGATGGATTTGCCACCTCCTGTTGCTAGGCAGTGAGGAGTGTGAATTATAAAAATGTGTTGAAATTTGGGGGAAGACACGTTTGAATCATAATATGTCACTAATAATGGTCTTTCGGTTTACTTTTTAAGGTTGTTGCCCTGCATGCAATTAGAAACAAGTGCCGTTAGCTGCATGGGATTGTAGACTACATTCTAAATAAAGAGCATGCAGTCTACCCTTGGCTAGGATTTTGCCCTAACAGAAATCATGAAGCCTGCCTGCAGGATGACTTACAGTATTGATATGAAGAGCAACACCACATTGTGAGAGGGGCAATAAGGGCAGCAGCACCTGGTGAAATCATTGGCAGTTGAGAAATATTCTTCCTTCAGGTCTCTGGAGGAGTGATGTTAAGTTGCCTACTGTTAGGTGGCCAGAGAGTGCTCTGAGCCTGAGAGGGGGAAAAGAAGCCTAGGCAAACCAGTCACGGTGACACTCAGGTGGGCCTGCCCCGGTGCCTCTCTGTGTCTGCACAGCCAGAAGAGAAGGGCCCACCTGCACAGCCAGCCTCCCGCTCCCTCCCTACTCCGCTTTGGAGAGCTGGATGGATGCTGGCAAAGCCCAGCCAGGATGCAAAAAAGAGATGCAGCAGCTCATGTGGGCTCGAGAGGGGTGGGTAGGGAGGACTATGAGGGGGTAGGGCTAATTTGGTGGGGGCATCACCCTTGAAAACCCCCCCCCCCCCGCTACGGGCCTGGAAAGCAATGGAACTAGTGGCAAATTGTCCCAACTTTCTCAGTTTTATGGGGACAGAGTGAGATAGAACTCCTGAGAGTTCCAAGGTTCTTCTGTCTGGTTGTATTTTGAACTCAGCACTCAGTATGTACACATACTAGGATCAAGTTACTTTATAATAAATGATATATACATATATTTTTCAATCAGGAATTGGAACTCAAAAAATGACTTATAAAAGGTGGCTCTCAGAGAATGCAGACTCAATAGTTTAGACATTTTCAGCCAATTTTTGTACCTGCGATTCGTGTCGATTTTTTTGTACATTTCATTTTGTGATCTTTGGTAGTGCATGGTATTAAACAACTTCGTGGATTACATATACAAAATATAGGGGTAGATGTTCTGTCAGTTTAATTAATCGGGTAAAACTGTGATCCTGGTTACACACTGTTGTTCTTCCATCGCACAGTTGAGTCTGACTCTTTGCGACCCCATGGACCACATCAAGCCAGGCCCTCCTGTCTTCCCACATCCTACAGAGTTTGCTTAATTTCACCTTTCCCAGCAGAGTCTTCTCCAGTGAGTACTCCCTCCTCATTTGGTGGCCAAAGTATTTGAGCTTCAGCTTCAGTATCTGGCTTTCCTCTTCTCCAGTGAGTGCTCCCTTCTCATTTGGTGGCCAAAGTATTTGAGCTTCAGTATCTGGCCTTCCAGGGAATAGTCAGGGTTGATTTCTTTTAGGGTTGACTGATTTGATCTCCTTGTAGTCCAAGGGACTCCCAAGGCTCTTCTCCAGCACCATAATTTGAAAGCATCTATTCTTCGGTGCTCAGCCTTCCTTATAGTCCAACTCTCGCAGCCATACATTACTACTTGGAATACCATCACTTTGACCATACAGACGTTTGTTGGCAGGGTGATGTCTCTACTTTTTATTAGTATATATTAAGGCCCTCAGCCTTAACATCTGGCCTATACTATCGCATGACTCAAGAAGACCACTGAGCTGGACTGTCTGCTTACAAACATTCTTAGTACACTACCTCAAGTAACTAATGAAGGATTACTAGAACCTTATGATTTTATTACTCATTTGTATTTGAATTGTTTAAAATGATTTTATGTAGTTTTATTAATATTTTCGTACCAACTGTGTTAGCCACCCTGAGCCTGCTTGCAGGGAGGGCGGGGTACAAATGGAATAAATAAATAAATATTATGTTGTCAAGGTTCGCCATCGCTTTCCTCCCAAGGCGCAGGCGTCTTTTAATTTCATGGCTGCTGTCACTGTCTGCAGTGATCTTGGATCCCAGGAACATGAATTCTGTCACTGCTTCCATGACTTCCCCTTCTATTTGCCAAGGGGTGATGGGGCCGGATGCCATGATCGTAGTTTTTTTGATGTTGCGTTTCAAGCCCACTTTTGCGCTCTCCTCTTTTATCCTGAGCAAGAGGCTCTTTAGGTCCTCTTCACTTTCTGCCATTAGAGTGGAATCATCTGCATATCTGAGATTGTTGATGTTTTCCATGACAATCTTAATTCTGGCTTCTGATTCATCCAGGCTGACATTTATATACTCTGCATATAAATTAAATAAGCAGGATGTACTCTGCATATAAATTAAATAAGCAGGGTGACAATATACATCCTTGTCGTACTCCTTTTCCTATGCTAAGCCAATCAGTTGTTCCATATCCAGTTCTAACTGTCGCTTCTTGACCCTTATACAGGTTTCTCAGGAGACATGTGAGGTGGTCTGGGACTCCCATCTCTTTAAGGACTTGCCATAGTTCGTTGTGATCCACACAATCAAAGGCTTTAGTGTAGTCAATGAAGCAGATGTTTTTCTAGTACTCTCTTGCTTTCTCCATAATCCAGTGAATGTTGGCAGTTTGATTTCTCATTCCTCTACCTCTTCAAAACCCAGCTTGTACTTCTGGCTGTTCTCTGTCCATGTATTGCTGAAGCCTAGCTTGTAGGATCTTGAGCATGACCTTGCTACCGTGTGAAATAAGTGGAATTGTGTGATAGTTTGAACATTCCTTGGCATTGCCCTTCTTTGGGATTGGAATATAAACTGGCCTTTTCCAATCCTGTGGCCACTGTTGCATTTTCCAAATTTGCTGGCATATGGAGTGCAGCACTTTAACACCATCATCTTTTAAGACTTTGAATGGTGTAGCTGGGATACCAGTTGCACACTAGAGGGCAGAGATTTCGGATCTACTTTGTGAGAGTAGGTGAAATACAGTTTCTGTGGCACATTACTGAAAGCTATAAGAAGGACGCAGCTATTTCAATGTGTCTGTGTGTGTGTGTGTGTGAGAGAGAGAGAGAAAGAGAGAGAGTATGCTTATACACCGTGGATGCCACAGAGGAGACCCTACAAACAGCCCAATTCTCTCCCCCCCCATCTTTCCCAGTGAAGCAAATAAAAGGCCATAGCCCCATTCCTGTTTCAAGGGCAGTGAGAGCAAAGAAGCAACTCAGTTCTTATGGGGGTTAAACTGCTATGTTGTGTTAGAGCAGACTAAAGATTAAAACTCCAGGCCTTATAGTCTTCATGAGTAAACTGGTCTCAGAACAGTATAAGTCACTTCAACCTGCAGAGCATTTATGGACAGCTTTTTAAAAAAAACCTGTTATCTAGTGTGAAATCTTTGTTTTATATTTGCAGAAGCAGTGCAGATCACTAAGTCCAACCTTAAGCAATGCTCAGCTGCCTTGGGGGGGGGGGGAGCATTCCAAATGCTGAGAATCTGGCCTTTCATCTCTGTTTGAATGCCATTCTCCATTTCCTTAGTGTTCATCACAGATCTGCATTCGCTACTGCACTTACTTTTGAATAGTTGGTTATGAATATTAATAAGAAACTCTCAGAGAACTATCAGTATCATCTGCTTGCATTTTATTTTCTTTGGAGTGCTGCCCTCTCATCTTCAGCCTCAAGCACTGGTAATATCCACGGAGGCCCAGCAAAGCTCTGGCCATAAGACTTTAGCTAGCACAAGGTGGAGAAACTGTAGTTATTGGCTGAGGTCATATCTGCAGAGCCCTCTTCAGTCTGGTTTTTAATTGC